AAAAGTTCAAACTGTTTATGATGATTAGAAGTATTTAAATTATAGTAAGAACTAAGAATCCCAGAAATAACGTAATCGAATCAAGAAGTACTAGATAACCACAGACGAATGTACTGTATTTAGAATTCGAAATCAAGCATTCAACAAGTACAAAGGAATTGTAGAATCCAAACTACTGTTTGAACAGATGAATAGCCGTCCAGGTACGTTAGACACGCGCCCTTGCCCGTCAAAATCAAAACAAATAATCGGGTAAATGACGGTTCTATAATTCATCATAAATTTAAATGTAAATCGTTACCTAAACAAATATTACCAGCCGGTTATTCAACCAATAATTGCTCAATCAATCAAATCTAAATTACAATAAATAAAGAAGTTGACAAAAGATGCGGGAAAATTACCAGTCACAACAAATGAATGCTATTCTATCCTGACTGGATAGAACACACACAAGAGTAGGAGCAAATCAATATGGCTACCATCAAGAACAAGTATCAAGTAAAACAACATAAATGCAGTTCGGGAAGAAACACAAAACTTAGTGAAGGCGTAAGAAAAACAAAAACTATAATAAAAAAATACGAATATTAACAATTCAAATGCAATAAAAAAACTAACAATGTACAACTAAGGGGATCACTAGGAATAAAGTGCAAGTATATAAATGGAGGGATTTTCACACACACACAAAACATTCAAAACGGATCTTGCAGGAATCATTAGTTCATTCAAACACCACATCCGCCACAGCTTAAATTTGAGTCTAAGTGTTTGTAATTAACTGTACGTCTTCTTCTCAAGTTCAGCATGTGTCTGTCCGACATTGTAATGGATAAAAACTATTATCTAGGATACACTTATGAGTATTAGAATTAACAACCGAAATCGGAACAGACTCACCTGCTTCCTGGGATTGTGTAATCAGCATGTTGGTTGTGTACTGAAACCGCTGCTATCTAGAATTTGAACCATAGACTTTTAGACTATCCTACCCCACGAAATAATGTTGGATCTTTATATCCCCAACTTATGAATAATGTGGCTTCATTTAAAACATATTTCTCACATTGACTAGGGTAAACATTAGAAGTGACTTTGTGATAATGATAAACAGCAGTTGATATGAATTCATCTAAATTCTTATCAAACTCGAGCACATTTAGTAATTGTGCTTCGCACTGAACAAGTTTTCCACAAGAAATAAATGCATTATAAGGACAAATAATATTTGATAGAACATCAAGATTTGACTCTTCTGAAACAGTTTTCTCAAATTTGTTAAGAATGTCATTGCAGAATATAAGATCATTAGAAAAATCAGCATCTATCGAAACTGCATCAATTTTTCGACCATGACTAGGTTCATTCAACATATTTCCCTCAGATATGCAAGGAATTTAGTCAGAAATAAGTGAATCATTAGGGAAAATCATATCTGGTACAATAACATGAGAAATCTGACAAATTGACTGATTAGAAACTGTTGTCTTGCAAAGATTATGAGTTTCACCTAACTCTGGAATGCTATATGACTCTACACTGACTTTTGAAATCGTTGATAAGGACAAATGATCATTATGAATACTCGACTCAGTAGAATCAGAATTACAAGACTTAATATTCGTTGCAACAAGATGAACAGTAGTGCTACAAACTGACTGAATATAATTGTTTTCTCTGTGTTTTTGGATGTATCTGTCTTGGACAATATTTAAACTTGCTTATTCATAACTTTCGCCTCTTACACTTTCAGTTTTACACTGCTCTGGTGTGGTGTTTGAATTAAATAACGATTCTTTTGTACTTGTTGAATGCACCATTTCGAATTCCAAATACAGTACATTCGTTTGCGCTTGTGTCTTACTTCTTAATTCAATTGCGTTATTTCTGGGACTCTTAGTTCGTACTATAATTCAAATAATTCAAAACATTATATCTGGTTTTATATTTTGAAAATTTAGCTCTGAAAACCTCAAACTCTAAGGTTTGTTTTGTAATTGTTATGGTAATTATCAAAACAATTTATTCGGTTTGCATATTCATAATTTACGAATAACTTTTGATACCTGAATTGAAATTTAGTTTTCTCGTCATTTGAATCATAATTCACGAATATATTAAACGACCATGCTTCGATAAAAAAACAGAGCAAAGCTTAGACTTGACAGACAGAGTTATGAGAAAATTCTTATGAACAAAGTTTGGTTGTTATGTATGAAGTAGAATTATGATCTACTATGATATTAGTACTGCGCTAATAATAGACGTAATCCCAAAATTGTGGACTTGTCATGACATAACTGCCTAATCTATAAGATCTTACGTAGAAGTCATACCATCGTCTACACCAACTCGTCGTATCGTAACAATCACCAATACATGATTTAGAACAAGCTTGGGCTGGAGATAGAACGATATATTCAGTATGAATAAAAGATATGATATAACATTCAACATGGTTCACGCCTGCACGTCCGAGCCATGCCATTCGATCAACTCCAATAAATCCAACTCCTTGTTCCTACCTTCTCCATCGTTAGATATTTCTCCGCGTTAAATATTGAATATCTATTTTATGAGTAGTTTCGTGTTCAGGTTTGAGGATTGTGTGGCTATGGTCCAATGCCATTACAAAGTGGCGTTTCATGATTAGAGAGCAAGTATATAGGACCCGCACTCCTAATTACATTCACTAGTCCTTCTATTGATTATTTAATACAACAAGACCACTCACCTTGGTTACATACCACCACTAGGTAGGAGTGACCATGCGGTTTCAGTTATTGACTTCTATATCATAGTCAACAGCTGTGTAAGCATAAGCCGGATCAAACATTTAAAAATCAAATATATAAAAGAATTACCCGTCCAGATTTGCGAGTGGCAAGGACGATAACCAGAATAATCTTTAGGAACAACATGTGAAGATTTTGGAAATGTACACATAAACGCGCAGCACCACCCGTACCCTTGACTATGCCGAGTAAACCGAGAATTTCCGGACCATTTTTCAGCGGAAAACGACTACTATAAAGTTATTTAAGCAATATGTACAAAAGAAATACTTTTCTCGAGTGAAAGATAAATCCTATCATTCATATCCCAGATATTGGAATACGGGAACTAGGAGTACGGCGCTTATGTAGATAAACGATTTCCAAGATAGGGAAACCGTGCTTAGTGGAGTGTCTTAGGGTACAGTTTTGAGACCAGAGTTATTCCTCCTTCATGAAAATCGATTATGTTCCTTTACCAGTGTTATATCCCGATGAGAATAATGAATGGTAACTGTCGGAATATATTTCTGGACTGATACTATACATATATTTGTATAATTGTTAAGTTGTAACAGCTTAGGTTGATTAATTAAGAGTTGACCCCAAGCAACCAAGTATATGTCAAGGTAAACGAGCTCAGTTATTCAATCATTTCTTTATTTTGTATAGGTATTATATTTCCTATTATCTTATGGTGAATGTTAGAAAGCTTTGTGTATTCAAACAGGTAATCGCACACTCCACTGTGACTACTTATTCACTAAAAGTCTGGTTTCTTCTATCAAAAGAACGAGGGTTACCTACAGGCATGAAAAAGTAACTAAACTATTCATACCCGTGTTTCTCTTATTATAAGCTTTATTTTGACCTACAAAATATTATTACACGATTTACCATTCTAAAATTATTCTCAGTTTATCAATTGCTATCACCCACATTCACAGCCACTTTTGTCTAATGTACATATGCTCACCAGTGACTGGCTTCACGAGGTATATCCTGGAGTTCTAGTGAGAAGTAGTGACCAGTGGAGTTCGACCAGGTCTGTTATGAGATAGAAACTCACTGAAGACAATGGTGAATGTGTCGCTCAATTTCGTGGATTGGTTGAAGTTAGACATTAACACCGTTGGATGCCGGCTCGGTGGTCTAGTGGTTAAGTGCCCGGGCGTGAAACCAATAGGTCCTGGGTTCGAATCTCGCAGGGGGCGAGGTCGTGGATGCGCACTGCTGAGGAGTCCCACAATAGGACGAAACGGCCGTCCGGTGCTTCCAAGTTTTCCATGGTGGTCTAGCTTCAACGGACTCATGATCTTAACCATTGAAATCAATGTACAAATGTTGTCTTCTATTTTATGCTACGATGTGGTCTGTTTGATTTGTATATAAACCCAGTATGTTTGAAATAAATGATTCACGTCGCAGAGGCAGAGATTTACGTTCTGGACTCAACAGGCAGCGCTGGACAGGAAGTAGGACCGGTAAAGACTCTAGGCCACTTGTACGTGGTTTATGCGTTATTCACTATTCTCCGATTGGCGGTTTCGTTACGTTTTACATTGATGGAGGAAAAACCCACAAGTGATAACAACCATTGCTGGCGATACCAAGGCATGAAGTGAGATACAAAATAAAGGTTACGGTTTAGAGTTTCATAATGAAGTACAAGAATCATCTGAATGGTCCAAAATTCAAAAAACCATCGATAAATGGCTCCGCATGTTTTATGGTGCAGTGTTAGGTCAGTTGATCACAGTTATTGATGTTGTATTTGGCGGATCCAAACTTTTATTGCCCTCCAGGATTAGGACCTTATGAGGATAGAAACACGTAAACAACGTGAACTGACCTCGGGGAGCAAGCAAATTATATGGATGACTACGAACAACAATTTAGATAAGGGGATTTATATGTTTATTAAACGATTTGTGTTACAAAACAACGCAGTTATAATTACAACACAGTTTTAACACTAATATTGAACTTATACTTGTGAATTATTGGCGTCTTCAACATGAACAAACACCAGCAATATATTTAGAATGTTTCGTAGCTGTAAAAATGGATGAATTTGAGACTGTACCTGAATAATTAGTCCGAATACTTTATGTCTAGAGACACTGGTTATGATGAAATTAACAGGAACTTGGCATTCTTTATTATCAGTGTCAATGCATTGGAGTTTTTTTATTTGTTCTACTGATCAGATAAAGATTTCAAGGTTGTTCGGCGGCCTCTTCAAGTCTCGCCGAGTTTTCAAGGTTCTGCATAGGGTGTTAAATGTTACTTTTAAAACCACTAGCATAAAGCGTTGAAGTATAGAATAATCGTCTTTTGGACTACGCAAATTTACGAATTTGGAATTTTCCGTCAGGTAGTAGTTCTAGGAAGTATGTAAACAACGTCTAACAAGTTCTGTTCTGTTCGAATATTAGCTTCTAATGTATTTTTATGTTGTTAGTTGTACCCTACCATTTATTTGCCTGTTTAGACGTGGTTAACTACTAATATTTGTGATACCTTCATCTTTCTCATGCTCCGTAAGTGGATAATTGTCTAGCACCGTGAAAGACATGGTGATGGTATCTTACAACAGAGCTAACAGTTTATCCACGAATATGAGACATATATATTATTAGCTAGTTTTATGATATTAACATTTTTATTTGAGTAAGCCGTTTATCCGAAAGCAGAAACTTAAACGGGTATGCGGAGATATGATCTCTAAACCTTTCATTGAATATTTCTATTCTCAAAGCAAAGAAATAATGTTAGGGGTTACATTCTTACGGTAGTTGTCTTCTCGTCGTCCTGAAGCCTGTATATGCTTTCAGTTGGAAATGGGTTATTCTCTTACCCATAATAAGTTAAAATTTCATCATCTTCGCTGACCTTTCGAGTTCTCTTTATCATTCATAGCTATAAGTATACATCTCAAGTATATGAGTAATAAAGACACTGGAATTTTAAAGCACCATGGCAGCACTAGTCATTGAAAGTTGCATTATTAGTGACACAAAAGCTTATGAGACCAGCTTTATGATAGATGTGGATGAGATGCGCTACTCAGATCTAAAGAGAATTGAGATCAACAGGGTCTAAACTTTCAATCCTAAAAATGATGTCACAATTTGAACTGCTTTCAACATCATTAGACAACTAGACTAGTCTGTGTATATCAGACGAGTACTTCGCACTGTTGGCTTCATTTATAATCGTTTTATTTTTCAGCTGTGGAAACTGATCTCTTCATAACAGGAAATCCTATGTAATTGGGTAACCAATTGAAATGCCATTGCATTATTACTCACTTCAAACTCGTTGTGCACACTGGTTATTAGCTCGAATCAGTCTCTTTCAGTCAGTTTGCCTGTTGTTATGGTTAGGCGAGCGAGCTTATCATGAAACAGAGCCACCTATACATCCATGGATAGTTTATACGTATGTGAGTTAACTAAATGTCTTTTTAATGTAGTTTCAATTTGAATCTGAATTAAAGTCCCATGTTTAATGGAAATTTTTCACTATTTATTGTAACTTCGGGGAATATTATCACTGCTAGTGTTCTTTTGGTAAAATTGAGAGCGAATAGCATGTCGATTGTGATCGGGGACATTTTCTTAGTGTTCGGATTCGATTGATCAAAGCTTAAAAATATTGCAGATAAAAACAAGTTGATGATTAAAGTCTCAAAAATGTTGTCAAAATAGTAAACTGAATAACACTTAATGATTTGCTTTTTTATCTTTTCCTACTCTTCGGCACCACCAACTGGGCATTGATATAAGTCTTACTGTTTGAACCGTGATATTACAAAACTTTAACAGATAGGAAGTCCCTGTTGAACGACCTAGGATTATCTTCAGATGAACTCAAAGCTTGGTCATACTGCCAACTAGGTTTTTAATGAATGTATGAAACTGCTGATTGGCAGGTTTTCAATGTGAAGAAATGACTTAATATTTGAAACAAATTAGCTTTTAATCAGTAAGTCACAGACACGAACCTCGTCACATCTACTTCAGTTTCAGTACCCAGGTAGTATCATTAACCACCACACAAACGATATAATTTAGGGCGTAAAAAATAAACGTCCACTTGGTAGATGATTCACATTATAAAGTTACTATATAATAAACAATAATTTCTGTCACCAGCGGAAAACTAATCAACATCAGTACTTTTTAGAAACTGGTTATTATTTATCTAGAATTAATTCACTGAGCAAAACGTCATAATCTTAGATAAGACAATTAGTCCAGTTATGCTGACTAAGAGTATACATCAAATGAGTTGGTAAGCATAGTTTTTCTTTTGTTTATAACGGGTGACTTGTGGGCTATTTACTAAGTTATTCACTTCAATTCAGACGACTGAACTGTATCAATAGCCCTCACTGAAAACATATATCATATCTGATTACACAACATTATACTTGATTATAGAATTACATTACCTTCAAATTACATCACGTAGTTTCAAAAATTAATGGGTTTATTTCTGTTGATAGATTTTAAAGGCGATATTTAAAACTACAGATAGTTTGTGCAGATATGCTTGATAAGCTTATTTTGTAAATAGGTTTTGATGTTATTTGCATTTATTTTGTCAATTTTTCACTACATGTAAATTTATCATTAAATGATTGTACGTGTTGTTTAAGTGTATGACCTTGAACACACTTTCCTTCCGTTGTGTAACTTCATAGCATGACACACTGTTGACTGCTAACAAATACATTGTTGCGCACATAACTCTCGTTCTACATTCATTTGTGATTATATTAACTGAACTCTAAATCAAATACTGTCTACATTTATAGACTGTAATCGGAATATATCGTAATCTATGTTGGATTATACCACTGGGAATTCATCAAACTTACCGGAATTACCGACCATCTATAATTGTGGATATTTGGTACCAGATCAAATCAGAACACGCACTAACCTGGTGAACTAAGTAACGTCCCTCATTCCTATTGTCTATAACATTATATATATATATATATATATATATATATATATATATATATATATATATATATATATATATATATATGTTAACATTACTATTTGTCCTTAATAACTCTGTTATTACTTTCTGAGTTCGTATATTGTCTGGTCCACCACAATTATCTGGATTGTCCCTCAGTAAGTCCCCTCAACATCCAACAGCAATTAACGCAGTTAACAACTCAGTTAGCATCATTACAAGCTACCATCGCGAGCATCCATTCTCGACCGCATAGATCCATTTCCAGAAAAAGATCAGTGTCTAGACATCGCCCTAGATCACCCAAGCAGGCAGCTGGTATCTGTTGGTATCATTTGAAGTATGGTAATAAAGCACGTCGTTGCACACAACCGTGCAACTTTACAACAAGCAAGCACGAACACCAGGGAAACGAGCTGGACAGACAGTAATGGCGGTGTCTGCTACTGGCCAACACGTTAGCCGCCTCTTTCACATCAGGGATCGTATTTCTGGCTCAGACTTTTTAGTCGACACAGGAGCAGGAATCAGTATCATCCCACTTCACCCCTCTCGAAGACAACAGACGACAAGCACTAAACTGTCTCTTGCAGCGGCTAACGATTCGATCATCAAAACGTATGTAGAGCGATCTCTCATATTAGACCTCGGACTCTGGAGACGATTCACATGGGTTTTCATAGTTGCTCACGTCAAACAACCCATCCTCGGGGCCGATTTTCTCAGTGCTTACAATTTATTAGTGGACATGACCGAAAAGAAGCTAATTGATGAAAATACACGTTTACAGGTGAACGGTACGCTTACCACTGATTATGAAATTCATGGTGTACGAATAATGAAACCTGTGAACAACATTTTCGACGACATCTTGACCGAATACGAGTGCATCACGAAAGCAGATTATCAAAAGGAATGCAACCCACACCATGTGCAACATCACATCATTACCATCGGACCACCTATTTGCGCCAGGGCGAGGAGACTTCCACCAAACAAGTTGCAGACAACTAAGAGAGAATTTGAACACATGATGCAACTTGGGATTATTAGACAATCCATAAGTCCTTCTGCCTCGCCGTTGCACATGGTACCAAAGAAAGACCAAGACTGGCGTCCGTGTGGTGACTACCGCCGTTTGAATGATTAAACCATTCCTGATAGTTACCCTATCCCACATATACATGACTTCTCGTTAAACTTACATGGTAAATGCATTTTCTAGAAACTCGACCTTGTGCGCGCATACCACCAAATCCCGATGGCACCAGAAGACATCGAAAAAAATAGCCATCATCACGCCCTTTGGTTTGTTTGAGTTTCTAAGAATGCCATTCGGACTGAAAAATGCCGCCCAGACATTCCAACGATTCATGAATGATGTTACAAGAGGCTTAGACTTCGTATTCTTCTACATAGACGACGTTTTGATCGCAAACTCATCAATAGAAGAGCACGTCCAGCATGTTCAGATCCTCTTTGAACGTTTTAAGAAACATGGCGTTGTTATCAATCCTTCTAAATGTATATTCGCCGTCCCAGCCTTAGAGTTTTTAGGACATTATATTGACTCTCAAGGCATCAAACCACTCCCAAAAAAAGTTGAAGCTATTACCAATTACCCTGAACCATCCTCCGTAAAGTCATTACGCCGTTTTCTCGGGACGTGCAATTTCTTCCGCCGATTCCTACCACGTTGTGCAGATGTGTTACAGCCGTCAACTGATTTGCTGAAAAGTGACAAAAAAGGTACGAGGAAGGAAAAGAATCAAACATTCAAGCTACCTCCAGACGCCAAAATGGCATTTGAAAAAGCAAAGTCCTTGATAGCCAACGCCACCATGCTACAACACCTCAATACTGACCCCACAACCCATCTGATTCTATGTACGGATGCCTCACAAAAAGCCGTCGGGGCAGTATTGCAACAACAGGTAAACAACATGACTACTCCCGTAGCGTTTTTCTCCAAGAGATAAATTGGATATCTGTCGTAAACTGGGAGATGTAATCCAATTGTTGTGCTTCGCGCGGTGAATGTGGCAGACACCGCCATTACTGTCTGGCCAGCTCGTTTCCCTGGTGTTCGTGCTTGCTTGTTGTAAAGTTGCACGGTTGTGTGCAACGACGTGCTTTATTACCATACTTCAAATGATACCAACAGATACCAGCTGCCTGCTTGGGTGATCTAGGGCGATGTCTAGACACTGATCTTTTTCTGGAAATGGATCTATGCGGTCGAGAATGGATGCTCGCGATGGTAGCTTGTAATGATGCTAACTGAGTTGTTAACTGCGTTAATTGCTGTTGGATGTTGAGGGGACTTACTGAGGGACAATCCAGATAATTGTGGTGGACCAGACAATATACGAACTCAGAAAGTAATAACAGAGTTATTAAGGACAAATAGTAATGTTAACATATATATATATATATATATATATATATATATATATATATATATATATATATATATATATATATATATATAATGTTATAGACAATAGGAATGAGGGACGTTACTTAGTTCACCAGGTTAGTGCGTGTTCTGATTTGATCTGGTACCAAATATCCACAATTATAGATGGTCGGTAATTCCGGTAAGTTTGATGAATTCCCAGTGGTATAATCCAACATAGATTACGATATATTCCGATTACAGTCTATAAATGTAGACAGTATTTGATTTAGAGTTCAGTTAATATAATCACAAATGAATGTAGAACGAGAGTTATGTGCGCAACAATGTATTTGTTAGCAGTCAACAGTGTGTCATGCTATGAAGTTACACAACGGAAGGAAAGTGTGTTCAAGGTCATACACTTAAACAACACGTACAATCATTTAATGATAAATTTACATGTAGTGAAAAATTGACAAAATAAATGCAAATAACATCAAAACCTATTTACAAAATAAGCTTATCAGGCATATCTCCACGGGTTTCCTTCATGAAACGACATCACTTTGGGTGCCATAATCCGACATGGTTCGAATGTTTATAGTCATGAGTTCGGACTACTGAAGTGTCCCACGCTATGATGAAACAGCGGTTCAGTACTCTATAATTTTCATGTCTACGGTAATTGATGCCAATGCTATAGAAAACTCACTGAGGAATAGGTTTGTCACCGATTTTGAAAGTAATGATTTTCTACTCTTGAAAACTTTGTGATTTGTAACTTTCATTGATTACTCATGATTTGTTATATGAATCCTCTCCATTACAATACAAATGACTTTAAAGTTGCAACCAGTGATTATATGATTTAGTTTCATTTCATATCATTTAAGATAATTACAGAATATCTCATTAATTAAAGTGATACCTCTCCATATATCTTTCTCCTTGTATTTCATAGATTGGCTCTGGTTTGATCGCATCAACTGGAATAACGAGTCGTTTCTTAACACGATTATCATTAACCATAATCCTCTTAAGTCAGTTGTACATAACATATGTGTTTTGTTTAGAAAAACGTTTAGGGTATTCAAAATGTATCCGTGCACGTATTAGTTTAAGATGTTTGACTACTATTGGTGTATATTTTCGACTGCTTGGAGTGAATGGCTATAATGATAAACGAAAACAGACAGATTCACACAATAACGATAACCAGGTTGATCAATTGCACAGAATCAAGCCTACTACAAGTGTTTATGCTTTCGGCTTAACTATAATGTCTGTATCATTATGTTTATTAAGTATATTCTGTATACCTGTAGAAATATTCCAACTGGATAGAGATATTCAATTGACAGAAATTAATTCAACATTAATTCTATCAATGGACAATTATATATCTAAATTGTTAAGTCTAATTTTAGGCATATGTTTGTTAACAGCTGGTATCATCTACTCAATTCCTGTAATTATACATGATCAATTTCTATTAAATAATACATTTTCTTATAAAAATTATTTATTCCAATTTGCTGATTATCTTATTGGCTTTTCATTTTTAATATTATCTTTAATTCGTGATTGTAATTTTAATTATTGGCATATTAAAGGATGTGAATTTTGGTTAGAAATACGTGTACTTCTAGAGAATATTACTATTCTCTTAGGTATTTTTGTAATAAATGATTTGCTTATTAACAATAGTGCAAGTAGCTTAAATGAGAAATATTTAAAAACATTGAAAGTGAATAGTAAATCATTAAAAAGTCAATAGATTTATGTAAATAAAAGGATTTCTCACTTTGTTACTTTAATTTCTACTTCATTTGTTGTTTTATCAAAAGATGTTTGTTTGTTTGTATTTAACTGGTGAATTATATGTATTTTGTTTATTGAAATAGAAAATGCGAACAATAATCTTTTGTAGAGTATCAGTCAGTCACTAACAACGTAGAACTTCGTAAGTACGTACCATCAGTTCGAGTTGCCATATCACATTAGCACAGAGATGCAGTGGTCGATTCAAATCCCGTAGTGATAGAGGTGGTAAGAGTATAAGCAGTTATAGGAAAGATTAGGGTTTGATGTTATTCAAGGAGTGTAGTCCAGTGGGATAAATTTCGAAAGAGAAAACAAGAAAGGGACACGAAGAATACAGAAGATTAGAATTCGGCAGAACACAAAGAGTGGATGCACCTGCTCCATTGCAAACGATTTTGAGCCATGTCATTCAGGGTCTCTAACCATCGGTTGCTAACGTCTCACGGATTCCAACCAGATAGTCTACACCTACCAACATGGCTCAGTCCACCTGTCAGTGACTTCATTGATTTGTGCCATCAGAGAAGAGTGAATCCATTTGAACAGGGAAATTACAACATAGTTTAAAGAGAATGGTTTTGATATGATAATAATAGAATATTGGAGATTATTGTATTACTTAATAGGTAAAAATGTTTTATTGGGTCAAAACTTTGTTCTGGTCGCCCCTAGCTTTATTCCAATCTACTCCTACACCATAAAACATAACACGCCGGGGCAGTCGGTGGTCGGGCATATATAACACGTGTTTCAACCATCGTTTGAATTTCTTTGCTCACATCTGAGCTACAAAAAATGTTATTAAGTGTCGTTAACTTAAAGTCTTAATAAATCTCAATTCAATATAATGAATTATCCGTCAGAGAAGAGTGAATCCATTTGAACAGGAAAATTACAACATAGTTTGAAGAGAATGGTTTTGGTAGATAATTGGTATGATAATAATAGAATATTGGAGACTATTGTATTACTTAATATGTAAAAATGTTTTATTGGGTCGAAACTTAGCTTCAGCAATCAAAAATTCTAAACGGTTAACCTATAACCGTCTTATCAATAGAAATGAACCATGTGAACAACATTTCCGTTATTACGAAGTCTTTCACCTCCCCGTATTTCTACAATTTCCTTGTCATACTGAGTGAAAATAAAGTAACCTCCAATGCTCTAGTCATCGCATAAATTATTTGAACTGAATTTCATTTTCGCTTTCTAAATAAACAATGAATTATCATTACTACATCTGTTTATGATGAGTCGCATGAACAATGAAACGTCAAATATATTGCTCAGGAACTTATTTCCAATGTGTATTGTAAATTGAATCAATAAAGATGGAAATGTGATTAAAAACACATGTATGGGGGAAAAGACGATTATGAGACACTTGTTGTTACCCCTAACTTCTTTCTCTTTAACAAAATGAATAGAGCTGAAACATCGCAAATCAACGTATTTCTTTTCAGTTTGAGAAATATTATACTAGTCCTAAGGTTCACTTAGATTTGCGGTCTTGTATGAGTGCTACGATTAAACAGTTGCCTAAATCTAACTGAATTTACATTATACAACGGTCTGTAATTTAAATTTATCTATTGACAAATTAAATTGCTCTGTGTCAAAATCATTTAGTTATCAAATATGTTTGTAATCACAATTGAAAAGATTTCTGATCCAATGTGGTACGTTTGGGAAAGTGCTCATCTTGCTACATAACCTTAAATTTCGTATCACTGTTCTGAAGTGAATTTCGATGAACGATCTTTCGAATGTTTGGGTGAAAGAAAAGAATGCTGGTCAATAGGTGATATGCAATGGCACGATTTTTGTTGCCGAGTGATGGCTGTTTGCCAGACTGAATTATCGACTTAAACCTTCAATCAAACTACTATTAGAGGACAAAGGAGTTGTCTAATTAAGTAAAATGGAATACTTGTACACAAAATTTCGAACACAAGAATAATTATCATTAGAGGTCATTCCTTTAACAATTGAAGAATACAAAAACTAGAGGTTGTTTATTTTATTTATTTATTTAAACACATAAATATTGGTACAGGAGGGCACCAAATATATATGCGCCACACAAAACAATGAGAATTTGCAGAAAAGGTAAGGAGCGTAAAAAAACGATAACGAATAGATTAGTGTAAGGTGGTGTAATAATAATAATGGGTGAAACAGAAACGTACACTCAGAAGAGATCTTTCAGTTAAGGAAGAAGCAACCACTTTTTATGAAGAAAGTAAAAGATTACAGCAGGATCGCCACTGGCTTCTATTCTGAGCCATATCTGATAACGTCTCTACTCGAGAACGTTTAGATAGAACCGAATTTCCACCATAGACGAGCTGCTGTATAAGTCGAAAAATAAGGATAGACAGAGTAGGAATGAAAGAGAGTGAATAAATGACGTAGTAAGTAATAACAATAGTAATAATAATAATGTGAATCGTTTGATTAATAGTTGTAGCAAGAAAAGTATTTTCCATAATTATCGACAGTTCATCATATTTGTGTGCGGGCTGTGATACTGCTCGGATGCCCAGACCGAAGCAGGTGGTTATCTTAGGGGGCCACACCCCGAGCCTTCGACCTGAAGGTCTGATCCACAAGGCAGTGGAGCATCGTGAGGAGATGCCGTCCCATGGTAGCCGGTGACCAAAAATCGGTTAATACGCCATTTGTTCCCGCAGGATACTGGAGCCCATGTGCACCATTGGTTTGGAAACCGATTAAAGCGCCGGACATTCGCTTTTCGTCCTCTCATTTTCGTAACCAACACCCCCGCCACGAGAAGGCAATGAGTAGGACTTCCCTGGCAGAGGCTGTATACGCGTGGTCGTGCGAGAGCATTTCGAGAGGGAGGGCGGGCCCATCCCACTCTCGGCCATACCAGGGCATTCGGGGGCCCGAGGTTGTTTACTCATATGGAATTAATCCTTAAATATCAGGTTCAGTTGTTGTTCTGTCATATCAAAATTAAATTTGCCATCATAAAGATCTTCACTTTGAGAGAACTCTTTAGACTAAAATATTGTTAGTTAAACTTGAAAGTTTAAGAATTATCCGTTAATTCACGTATTAAATGCTAAGGATTGTCGAATGTGTTCATTCTTATATATAGGTCAGTAGAATTATCTAGACCTAATTTTTAAACAAGTTACGTTTAAATACTATGTACGATTGAACATATTGATTTTAATTAAGATCAGCGAACTGAAGTGTAACTAATTATTGGAATATTTTAAAGTTATTTGACAGATAAATACTAGTCATTCTCAAGCAAACTTTTATGCATTTTGAATGATCAATGAGTAGCACATAATGTTGTTTGTCTAGTCCCTAATGCCGAGTGGTAACGTCCAAGACTGCTTAACTAAATGATCCCAGTTCGAAATCACCAGGGTGCAATCGCTCCCTCTAAGTTATAGGCACGTTTTGCCGACGAGTGTCAACTAACACAATCTTGGTTGAAGATTTCCTGTCTCATAACTCTGACCATCGAACAGTAGATTTTTATCCATCAAATGACTTTCGCAGATTATTAACCAACAAACCTTTCTAAAGTTCAAACAAAAATTTCAATGGAAGCGTGATTTCATAAATAGCAAGAAAGATGTATTCATAAGTCAATGTCCTCATTTTTACTTGTCAGTTTTTTCTTCAAACTGTATATTTACGTTGTCAAATTTAGAACATTAAAGGGTTACACTTCGTCAAGTAGAATGACTTCAACAAAAATACTGTTATTTCTAAAACAAAACTAAAATATACGCGGAGATAGTTGCCAGCATTGATGCAAACAGTTCACTGCAAGCACTGATATGTTTACGATTAGAAAGCTTTTAGGATGCTTATGTACTTTTCTTATCGAAAGTTTCGACGATATACTGGTATGAAAAACTGATTACGGTAGCCAAACGAAGTCTTTGGATCAAGAAATACAAGTACGTTCGCGCGTCTACTGTTATACATGCATTCTGAAACCTGGAGGGTGGACATTTCATACATTCATCTTCAAGACCATAAACATTCTGGTTTTATTGGTTTAACTGTCTCAGAGTTCCAGCTTAACATTGGATGGTTGTCAGTCCTTATATCTCAGACAATATTAGTCAGAATGACTCCTCTCCTTTCTGATAAACTGGGACAACTAAGGTTTATGTCCAACCCTTAAAGCAGCTAATATCTCAGTAATTCGAACTTTCATGACTGGACTGTGGTGTGTGCTACTTACATCGACATAAGTAGTATATGATGTTAGTCAGGAACAGGTCTGGCAGCAGAGAGACAAGAGGATCGAACAGTAAAGAATGGGGACCGAATGCAATTTGTATGAAAATGCAAGAACAATGAAGTCTGAGTCATTATGAGACAATTGATGGACATTTTGCAAATTACGTATTTACTATTTGGTTGTTAGATTTTATTAACAAGTCCTGTGATTTTGTGTCAAATACATTCGATTGTCCCCACCCGTGTTCTGTTCACTACAGGACCACTGTCCCTGCAGACCTTTGTAAATGACCCATCAAAACTTGCTCCTCGAACTCGTTTACTTACTTCATAGCTGAAAGTTAGAGGCCCGACCTTAATTAAATTGGCTTCCAAAATCATACTTTAAATGATGTCAGATTGTCTCAGAATCCATGCCTGTACCCAGCTAGTTCATTCTTTTCAATATCCTTAAAGTTCGTGCTGATCTTTAAGTCTCTCAGTTGAGACTTCTGTATTAACGAAGACACGGATACGTGTTCCAGAAAGGGCGAAAATTCATGTTAAACCAATGTAATTATGATCGATAACGATGCAGTATATTTGTACTAACGGTTAAGATGGTTTCGGAGATTCTGAGGTTAGACATTACCTCTTATGTCCAAGGTTAATAATACTAGAAAAAACAGTCAAGTGAACAAACCTTCAGCAAACGGTAACCGTTATATCTTCTAACTTAAAGTCATAAGTTATCTTTCCACTGACTTTCGATATTGTATGATGTTACTACAATTTATGAAGATGAAATCGTTTCTTCACTTTAAGATTTCGACAACAAAAAACAAATTCGTATTTATAAGTTAAATTAGAAATTGGAGAAAAATTAATGGGGATTCACTATAAATAGTCAGTAAGTTAACCGAATTTGAGAAAATACGTGATTAATGAGATTATATGGTCTAGACAGTTCTCGTCTCCGGTTTCTTGTGTTTATACTGATTGAAATAGATTAGCATTTTCTTAATCTCTCCAATAGCCAAACCAGGATTCAATCCCTAAAAACGTTCACGTAAAATGTATACAAATATAAATTAACATATATTTACAAACTACCTAGGAGCATTAATATTTATATATATATACAAACTGATAATACGTATATATAGATGTCTAAGAAACATATACAACTTATTGGTCACAGCCAGTCATGATCCTTGTTAATTTAAATGTTATAGTCTTCAGTGTACGTATCAAGAATTGATTGCCGAAATTTTGTTTTTCAACTCGCATAATGTCCTCACAAGCTAGTTGATCATGTCAAGCATACAGAACTTGTCCTTCATATGCTATTGTCACTATCCCCGTAGCGACATAGTCAGTCTTGTTACTGTCACACGTTATCGACGTCCACGGATCATACTGTACTGTTCATGATACTGCATCTCCAGCGATCGCTTACCGCTTTAAGTATAGCTAACCTAAAATTTTCCGAGTGATATATGAACGAACACTTGCAAGCTAACGATACGTCATTGTCTAAGTTAATTTGCTCCAATCGGCGCGTATATATCTGGTGCCCCCTTGTACCAATATTTATGTGTTCAAATAAAATAATAAATAAAATTGTTTGCTCCAAAATGACAATGAAAACTTTAATAAAAGGTACTTGAGTAAAAAGACCGAAATACTACAAAGTTATTTCCGAAAGTGTGATCAGTTGTCAAATATTAAGTGGAGGAAAAGTCAGATTTTGCTAATATCTTCGTTCTTGGGGAAGGATCTTTTACTATCGATTACAAAAACCAAATCATCATCATCAGTAGAAAAACCCCAAGTAGATTACACACGACTGAATTGATCTGTTGTTGAACATTGGTTCAAGTATTATAAAACATGCACACAATATGGAATTGCGATGTCAACAAGACAAGACTGTGAATACGAGGAGTGATGGTATGCTAACAGTTGAAATCTGTTTTCAGAGAAATGTAACCGTTTCAAGAAAATGTCCAAGTAATTTTTAAAGTAGAACTGAATGTAAATGTTTGACACGTTTAAATCAATTCACTTACTTTTGGGCAAGTTTCTGTGCAATTCATAATAGTATGACATCGATAAAGTGACCACTTGTTTTGGAACTCAGCCAAACGTTCATACGTATAATCATCACGTGAATCGACTAACCATCTGCAATAGATATATCGAAAATGCACTGCAATTTTAAATGGATAATTTTTGGTACATAACTAAGTAATGAGTTTATTTTGCAAAACATTAACAATCTTACCCAGAAGAAACGATAATTTGACAAACTAACCAAAATTATACATATTTAGTCAATGTGGTTGTTAATTGCGATGTGAGGATTACGGATTATGTTACGTAGAATGAATATTTTCAACATCGCTTAATTCATATTCTAGTAAGTGCGAGCGAACAGCTTTACTCGTTAATCTACGAGAATATACACAAAAAGAAACAACAAGCAGTAGTAATATTAAAATAAGTTACTTTTAATTGAACTGTTTTCGCACTGGGAATCTGAAGGACAACCGATGCAAGAATTTACTTCTGTTATTTACATTTCCAGCCAGACAACTTAAGTTGACTTCTCTTAGTAATTCAAACTTATAGGTAGTGTATTCAACCAATTTCCATTTAAAAGTTATTTAATAGTAGCCAGAACTCATCACAAACAAGTTGTAACATCGACTACACAAAACGAAATAAAATATTCTTTCTTTTAAAGTGAAATCTTATCTATAAATGTAAGTAACTCCGTTCATAAAACACCATTTAATGAATAAATTTGTGAAATCTTAGGTATTCGTTTAACACTTGCCTGTAAGCCTGAAGTAGGACAGCGGGACCCAAATACTTATCACCATTCCACCAATAAGATGGACACGAAGTAGAACAACAGGCACACAAAATGCATTCATAAAGCCCATCTAACTTTGCTCTGTCTTCCACTGACTGATAATAAGTCTTTTTCCCAATATCTTCTTCAGATACATTCTTTTTCTTTAAATAAGGCTCAATAAAACGGTACTGAGCATAAAAATTATTCATATCTGGAATTAGATCCTTAATTACGTACATATGAGGCAATGGATATATTTTAGTTGTCTTGCTAACATCTGGATCTATTTCCCTAAAAAAGCAAAACAAATGCATAAAAAGTACTGGTAATGATACATTAATTACATGGGCTTCAATACTAAAAATATGAAGGTAAACAATTCAAAGGAGTAGCATACCATATACAGGCAAGGTGATTACGACCCTCTATATTCATTGCACAAGAACCACATATGCCCTCACGGCAAGAACGTCGAAATGTCAGAGTAGGATCCTGTTCATTCTTTATCTTGATTAAAGCATCCAAGACCATGGGTCCGCAATCATTAAGATCGACTTGATAATTTTGCATAGTGGGTTTTTCGCCACGTTTATCTGGGTTCTGTGTGAAAAAAAAGAAATGGTGATAAGTACTTAGGAAAGTATCCATGAAAATTTTGTTGCGAAAAAATCATAAGGTCAAACTCTCTATACAGATCGTGATTCTTCAATTCACAAAGACAAGTTGTGTTAAATACTCGCTCCCACTCAAACAGCTTTCCAAACATTCCACATCGATGCTGACATTGTCAGCTTCACGAACTTTAATAGCCACGGGAACTCAACTATGAATCACGGCCATATCACGCTACAGATGTGAGACGCTTATCATTCTCTAAACGGTTGATTTAATAGTATAACTTTTCTCCAACTCAGTTTGCTTTCACATACACCTTTCCTCCAACTATTTGCCCTTTTGTTTGCTAGTATTAGAAGTTTTAAATGCAAGGTATGTGGAGACCAATATTATCCCATTCTGTTGTATCCAGTCGCAGATGACCTGACCCTTCTATCCTATAAACACCAACGAATGCGGGTCAAGACAAACAGTGTAGCAGCAGTCTGCATCAGTAGGCCTCAACATACACAAAGGAAAAAGTCAGATACCCGAATACAACACGGAGAACACCAACCCAATCTCACTTGATGGAGAAGCTCTGGAAGGTGTGAAATCTTCCATGTACCTGGAAAGCATAATCGATAAACAAGGATGACATACGGCACTCAAAACAACTGTTAATCTATATCAAAGTATGAATCTTCAATGCGAATGTCAAGACAGTCCTACTGTACGGAGCTGAAACTTAGAGAACCACTACAAACATCATCAAAATGGTACAAGTAGTTATAAAAAATTGTCTACGAAAGATACTCAATGTCCGTTGGCCGGAAACCATCAGCAACAGCCTAATGTGGGAGAGAACAAATCAGCTGCCAGCTGAAGAGAAAATTAGGAGAAGACGTTGGAAGTGGATAGGACATACACTACAGAAATCACCAAGCTGAATCACGAGGCAAGCTTTAACTTGGAATCCTGAAGGGAGACGGAAAAGAGGAAGACCGAAGAACACACTACGTCGGGAATTGAAAGTAGGCATGAAAAGGGTGAATAGCAACTGGAAATAATTGTCCAAAACAGAGTTCGATAGAGGATGCTAGTGGGTAGCCTATGCTCCTCCAGGTGTGGTAACAGGCGTAAGTAAGGAAGTAGTATCCAGGATACTTTCAGGTAAATGATAAAACATAAAAACCCTTGTCAAAGATTTAGTGTTAAATTATGCCATGAAACGAAATAAATATTGGGAGGAAACGAAGTTATCAGACCTCAGATACTAAGTATCCCAATAAAAGCAAGAACAGTTGTGACCGTGGAGTTTCATTTTAACCCCTAATCCAAAACATAATAAACTAATGAAACAACAGAACTTACCCATCTGTAAATGGAAAAGGTCTTCATAAGTGGAGCTGATTCCGCTGCAGTTGAAGCGCAACGAACCTGTATTACAAAGATGAAAAAACAATACATAGGACCTAGAATATATGGGACGTCTTTACATGATTATCGAGATCCAAAGCACCACTATTAAACAATTGTAATGCATTGGAACAAAAATTATGCACGTTCAGGAATTTCTTCAAAGGTGCGCATACGAATAGCTTTTTTATTTTAACACATAGATATTGGTACAAGGAGGCAGCAAATACATATGCACCACACAGATCTCATTTGATGTATGTAAGGGCTGTGATACTGCCCAGGTGCCCAAACCGAAGCAGGTGGTTTTCTCAAGGGGCCACATCCCGAACCTTCGACCTGAAGGTCTAATCCACAAGGCAGTGGAGCAACGTAAGGATATGCATTCCCATGGTAGCCGGTGACCAACGATTGGCTCCTACGCCATCTGTTCCTTCATGTTGCTGGAGCCTATGTGCACCATTGGTTTGGAATTGTGGTTTTCCAACCCCGTAGGTGGACCCTCCATGTCTACCAACCCGGGTAAAGCGCCGGACGTTCGCCTTTTGTCCTCTCAATTTCGTAAACAACACCCCCGCCACGAGAAGACAGTGAGTAGGACTTCCCTGGCAGAGGCTATATAAGCGTGGCCATGTGAGAGCATTTCGAGAGGGAGAGCGAACTCTCCCCACTCTTGGCCGTACCAGGGCATTTGGGGGCGCACATGCATAGGGCTTTCTACAAAAACTGAATTTAGATATAGTATGACCACATCACCTTAAAAACCAAAATGTACGAGTACAAAAATCATAGTATCACATTGATGAAATCAATTTTTTGAAACCAGTTCCATGGTTTTCTACCTAAGTAAAGACTTACAAAGGGCCAGTCGTGACCCATTGGGTCTGAAAGGATAAAACAGTGCAAGGAATTCATGTAATGTGTTTGGACTAGAGTTGTTAGAAAAGACCTACGGAAGATGTAGGTTAAATAATGTGACTAGAAGAGCAACGAGACTTTCTAACAGAACTATATTCTATACCAACCACTTTTAATAGACATTCTGATCAATAAACAGACCAGGTAGATTTGTTTAGCTGGTGTAGACTCATGTACATTCATTCAGTTAACCTTTCTTCATTACTGACAAGCATGGATTTTTTTAGCTTGGGGATGTGTGAGAAAATCCGCTACAAAAATCAAAAATTATTTTAGGCTATATTTTCGTCTTACTACTAAAAGTTTAAATCAGAGTATGAAGACAGTGGTGCGGAACTTCCGAGAGTTCCGCACATAGGCCGAAATCGGAATATTAACTAAAATTGCGTCAGAAAATGCAAATAGTTAATGATAGACTTCTATTACATATCCAGTGTGTTAGCATGAATTCTTATCACAGTTAGTAAAACTGACTTACGAGACTGAAGGCTGATGATAGCGAGAAAGTCAGGGATTTCCACATAATGAACTTCAATATGCAATAGTTTCTTCTTTGAGTGCTGGAAACACGAAGGCGTCAAGCTGAATATATGGGAAATATGCAGCCTAAAACTCGAAACGCAAGAATCAAAATACAGTAATACAGATGTCAAGGTCAATAACAAGTGTATTCCGCGTCAGTCAGTTAACAATATCAAATGGTTCAAATGGTTGTGGACAGAATAGAGGAAGCTTTCGCTTAACGGGCTTCCGTGTCCGGTTGCCGTGGATCACCAATACCTCCAGGCAGGAACCTAGGTATATTAACGGTGAAAGAGGAAAAATAAACTGGTAAATCATAGTAGGATATTATCCTTAGACCTTAACAACAGGTCAAGTTTCCTCTTAAAGGACTCCTATGAATTAGCTTGGACTAGCTCAGCCGATAGCGAATTCCACCATTTGACAACTCTTAAGGAGTAGGAACTGTGTCCATAGTCCGTTCTACTCTGTTGTTTCTCCAGTTTCTGGGTGTTAACCCTTAGGTTTGTGTTTGAGTTAAACTTAAGTAGATGTTTAAGGGGATGTCCATAAGTGTTAAGGATGCTGTAAGCCATTAGATGGTCACCTCTGAGACGTCTGTACTCTAATAGTCAAAGGTTCAGTGATTGAAGGCGCACTTCATAAGGCTTGAATTTGGGTCCCCGAACTGATTTCGTGGCTCGCCGTTGGATACGTCCCAGAGCGTCCTTATACTTTTAGAATGAGGGAGGAAATATTACGTTTCCGTACTCTAAATGGGGACGAATGAAAGTGTTGAAGAATATGTGGAAATTTCTTCCGTCAAACTGGCCAAAAATGCGCTTCAATGTTACCAGTGCAAGGTTCGCTCGAAAGGCATTTTTGTCACATTTAGCGTAAGACTTCAAATCATAGGGTACAAACACTGCTAAATCTTTTTCAACATGGGCTACTTCTGGAGAGGAGTTTTCTAAGTTGCAACTGAAGTCTGCAACATGTTTCAGATGGATTACTTTATACTTTGAAGTGTCAAAGGTAAGTTCATTTTCATCTGCCAAGATTTGAAGTCGAGCCAGATCCTTCTGAAGTACCAGTACATCCTCACGGTTGCATGTCTATCTCCAAAGTTTCACATCATCGATAAGAAGTAATAAATCTGGCTACACCTGCTGATGAAGATCGTTTATATAAATCAAGAATAGAAGAGGTTTCGGTACTGAACATTGGGGGCCCCCATCAGGACTTTTCATAGCCCGAGAGAGTGAAGATAACCCTGACCTTAAAATGTCGATTTTTTTAGATATGAAATGAGACAATCAATTAAGGGCGATTAGACTCCTAGTCGTTCGAGCTTATTGATAAGACATATGCGGTTGACCCTATCAAAAGCTTTTAAGAAGTCAAGTTAAATGACGTCGACCTTCCCATTGCAATCAAAGATGGTTGTCTATCTGTCCACCGCAGTCAACTGGTTGATTATACAAGAATTACCCTTCCTGAGACCGTGCTGATGGAGTGGAAAGAAGTTTAGGGACAATAAATAGTTGTGTATACCGTCGCATATCAGGGACACCATGATTTTTGAAGGTGTAGGGAGAAGGGTCACTGGTCAGTAGCTTAAATGTTCGCTACGTCCACCCCCTTTGAAAATTGGTGTGACGTGAGCCAGCTTCCAAATTTCTGGTAATGTGCTTCGGCTTAGCGAGTGTGAGAACATCACGCTAAGTGGTGTTGCCAGGATTGAAGTTAGTTCACTTAGTATGGCAGAATGAACCATATCCAGGCCAGAATTGTCATTTCTTGGGTGCTGCGGTTTCCAGTACGCCAAGTCAGAGCTCAGGTTCATTTCCGAAAGTACTGTGCAGTTGCAGATGAAGCGTTCATCAATATAGTTAATGTGGGTCAGTTGAAATGTCCGAGAGTTCAAGTATTCATTCACTTCCTTATTTTGTATAGGCGTTATATTTCCTATTATCTTATATTGAATGTTTCGAGGCTTTGTTTGTCTGAACAAATAATCCCACGCTCCACTGTGATTGAGCGAAGATCTAAATAAAGACCTATTCACCGCTAGTCTTGTTTCTTCTATCAATAGCACGAGGGTTACATACAGGCACGAATTATCTTCATCAGCCGGGGTCTAGAATCTCTGTCCTTTTTGGAGAGTCTCATCAATTGTTGAGTCAATATGTTTTTGAGCTTCAACGATTGTTCAATGAACTTCTATTCCCCAATATCAGAGTTTGTGTGGTCAGTGTTCGTTTTTTCGGTACACCATGAAGAATGATATTTCCTCCACGGAAAAACTCCATGAGAGATTCCTTAGATGTGTTCCTGATGTGATTGCTCTCAGAATACGGTATGTCAGGCAGTATTCTTACATTCCCATCTGAGTTCAGTAAGTAACTAACTAGTGGGATAACCTATAAGTCGGTAGTGTTAGTAAATGTCACACAAAGTAGCCTTGATGCTAATATCTTTGTCACGAGCTAGTATAAACCGATTGATTTCTGTTCCGACACAGTTCTGTGTATCTTTTAATATCCAAACGGCCATTCAACTGAAACAATTATGGTCAGTTTGGTAGATACTTGTAGATTAATATATCATGTAGTTGGAGTGAGAACTTTTGTCTCAGGGTGGTAGGAATCACGGATACTATAATCTATTACATTACTAGGCACCAGTTTGGTTGGCTTTAAAAAGAAAAATATTGGTAAATTGTGCTAGCATAATATCCTGAGTTCCTGATAATCTATCACGTTTTCTCTTAAAGGAATTCTGAGACATCTCTTGGACTACTTTAGCAGGCAGCGAGTCGCGGAATCCCACTACACACAGAGTAAAATGTGTGCCTACAATCCGTCCTGCTATGCTGTGTCTCAAATTTCTGGGTGTTAGCCTTAAAGTTTGTGCTTGAACTGATGTTAAGTAGGTGTATAGAGGGATGTTTAGGAGTGGTAAATAAGTCACTTCTGCGAAGCCTATACTCTTTTAGGTAAGGATCCAGTGATTTACGACGTTTTTCATAGGGTTTAAATTTGAGTCCTCGAACGTGGCTCAACTTTGGATACATTCCACAGTATTTTTGTCTTTTCGGAGTGAAGGAAGAAACACTTTAATTTCATACTGTAAGTGGGGTGGAGAGAAAACTGTCAAACATTTACTCGAAAGTACTATTGTAGAATTGGCCAAAAGTGCGCCTCAACGTTCCCAGTGCACAATTTGTTCGGAGGGCATTTTTGTAGAAGTTAGCTTAAGATATTTAATCATAGTGCACCAAAACTCCTAGATCTTTGTCAACCGGGTATGCCTCTAGAGGGGAGTTACCAACGTTGTGTATATAATTTACAACATGGACTACTTTATATTTTGAAGTATCGAAAGTGAGTCCCTAGATTTTCGCACAAATTTGAGGCCGAGACGTATCCTCATGGAGTGTCAGTTTATCATTTTGGTAACAAAAGTCTCACCAAATGTTTATATAGTCAATGGAAAGCAAGAAATCGGACGATGCTTGTTGATGGAGGTCATTTGTTTAAATTAAGAGAAGCGGAGATCCCAGTACCGAGCCTCGAGGAACCTCACTAAAACACTCTGTAGACTGAGAGAACATGAAGTTCGTCCTGACCCTAAATGTCGATTATTTAGATCCAAAGTAGACCAGTTTGTTAACGATGGCCAGATACCTAGCCGTTCCAGCTTACAGACGAGGTATATATGGGTGACTTCATCAAAAGCTCCTGATAAGTCAATGTATATAACACCAACCTTTCTCTTGCGACAAAGATTGCCTGTCCATCTGCCCACTGCAGTCATCAGGCTGATCATGCAAGAATGACACTTCTTGGGACCATGCTGATGGGGTTAAAAGAAGTTCGCGGATATTAAGTAGTCATGTAGATCATCGCATATTAAGTGCAACGTAAGTTTTAGGGTACTAGGAGAAGTGGTAACGATCGGTAACTTGCGGGTTCTCTGCGCCAGCCTCCCTTGAAAATCGGCGTAGTGTGAGTCAGCCTCTAATTGTCTAGCATCGTGGCGTGATTTGGCGAATGCAACGACATCCCACAAAGCTGTGTTAAAATTGAAACCACTCCTCCCAATTTAGAAGAGTGAATCATTCCAGGGCCATTTGAGGTGTCGCTGTTTAGACGTATCAGTATTTGGCACATTAGGTCAGAGATCCAGATCATTCCTAAGGCTCCTGTTGCGTTGGAGGTGACGCTCTCGTCGATGTAATTTGTAGCGGTTGGAATGTTTAAAAACACTGCTCTGTGAGGAGCTCAAATGTATCAACATTTTTGTTGATCAGGCCACTAGGACCTAACGACTGGAATATTTTGGATTCGGCTTGTCGAAGAGAGGGTGCACGCCAGAGTAAGCTTTTTGGATCAGAGACACATTTAACGTTTGGCTTGACCTGACACTGAGGCCTGTCTTTGCCTATCGCCTCTAAGCGTCAGTTTCTTGCCTGTCTGAACTGCCTGTACGTGCTGTTGTTATTAGTTCGTTTGTGTTTTACCCAGTAGTAGATTTTGGGTCTTAGCATTTGAAGATTGTGATTCTTCATGACTGCATGTTGCTTGTGACTTTTAGAGAACACTAATGAGACGGGCTGGTTCTAGCTTCGTAAAACCGTGCTCAGTAAAAATCCCAATGGGTGTTCGCCTTGAGTTGAGAGAGAACTTCCCGTTCCAACTGCCGTAGATTTTCCTGTTAGGCTGACATGTCCAAACGTTTGAACTTCAAGCGCCTGCCGTTGGTGAGATGTTTCAGTACAGTTTTGTTGGCAATCAAAATCGAAAAATGCTTGAGTGTATACTTGATGTGCTACCAGGCGAGTTGGCATGGACCTTCGCAACAAGAGGCTTAACATTTATTCTCAAACAATTTAAATGTAAGGGTTTTCCATCCTTGTTCTATTCCTTGGCGCCACACATATTCAGTCAATCCTGAACATTTGATGGCCGTGGAACCACTTTGTAGGAGTGTGGTGTGTGCTACTTATATCGACATAAGTAGTATATGATGTTAGTCAGGAACAGAAGGTCTAGAAGCAGAGAGACAAGAGGATCGAACAGTAAAGAATGGAAACAGGATGTAATTCGTATGAAAATGCAAGCACAATGAAGTCTGAGTCATTTTGAGACAACTGGTGGACATTTTGCAAAT